CCAACCGAGCCATCCAGGTTTCCGGGGCCAACACACGAGGTTCAGACCTTCTTAGAGGAAAGAAAGATCACTGAGGCGTTCGTTGACTCGCTCATTATAGGCCATGTCGCGTTCAAAATGCTACCGTGAAATTGGGTTAAACAAGAATGCGAGGCGCACATTAGGAAGGGATAGATGAACACCGTAAGCTTCATATGTTTTTAGTACATAGGGCAAACGATCGCGAATGATGAAGAATGGTGGTGGTGCTGTTTGGCTTGGAGGGGCATTTTGTACTTTGACTGATTATTTGGTTGGTTCATGTTGACTAACCGATCCCACTTTTGTCAGACCTCAAACTCCTGTGAAGCTTAGAAATGGTTTGAGTAAGCTACTTCAACCACATGAATTTACAGGTCTTCACAAGGTGACCTGTACAAGTTTAGCCAAGACCATTCGGTGACCCTCCAAGCCGAACTACGGCAGAATAAATAATGACAAAGCAGGAAAGACCAGTCTTCAAACTACTTGTCGATAAAGGACACTGCACTACCTGTGTTAGCCTTTGCCATCGCAATTGTGATTTTCTTCGTATAATCCACACGATTTCTTTCAGCGATAGCTGGTTCCTCATCGCTATACGGCGCTGGGGCCTTCAGCGCTAACGGCATCGGTGCGCTCATTTGCTCCTCAATTTCCACTATAGCACCATATGAGCACCTCTTGCATTTGCAGTATTTTGTAAAAACTAAAAAAGCGAAACTCACTTCAGTTATTGATCGTTTCAGAGGCAGTGCGTCACCGCCTTCACTCGGATCCGCGGCACGTTTCCGTATTGTGGCCATAATGGGAATATTAGATGGAAATCAGCAAACTACTTTATGCTCACGCACCACTATATGAAGCCGTCAATCTGAAATATCAAAAACAGCATAATCCTCAAAATATTATGTTAATGAAAATTTCACGCGTACATATTCATATGTATTTACCATTTACGACTTCTCTACTGTGAATCCATCATTTAATAGTATAAAATTTTTTTTTAGCGTCATCGACAGCGACGAGTTTGGAGGATCACTTTGGTTTATCATTTCCTAACGCGTCTGTTCTCATTTCCTGACGCCAGCTTTGCTTGGAATCACTGATTAAAGGCACACCCACGAAGGGAAGATGAGGATTAGGGCGCGTTCGTACTCTGCGACTAGGGGGAATCGGCATTTCAAATGAACCGCTGTTTCGGGAAAGCGGCGTTCCGAGAGAATAAGCAAAATGAATAGGTATACATATTCGACCTGGTGCTTCGAGAAAAACTGTGTTCTGGGAGAACCGGCGTTCTGAGCTAAAGAGAAAGTATAGCTATCGATGGACGCTTAAGAGGAATAAAGCACGATAATTTGAAATTCGATCTAAAATGGCAGTATGATAGGATCTTTCCCCATTCTATAAAGCAGCAACTTTTGTGTGCCGGTTTGTCGGTATGATAATGTATGTTATGAGAGTATGTTTGTCCGTCCGCAAACTTCTTCATGGGCTCGAGTAAGGTGGACGAGAAAACGACCGCTAAACAAACCGGTAACCGATTGGTGCAGATGGATCAATCCAGTGTTTTGATTATGATAACAGCATATATAAGGCAACCATTCGGTACACTCCGAGCCATTTCATGAGATGCTACTGGCAAGGCAGCTGGATGTATGCTTCTACGGGGCATGATGGGATGGAACCGAGGAGGGGGGGGGCACCGGGGGACTCTCTCCTTTGCTTCTTTCCCCTGCACCTGCTCAGCCGAACATGAGCATGTGCAAGTGAAGGAAGCAGAGGGAAGGGGGTACGGTGAGACGAGGGGGGGGGGGGTGTACGCATGCTTGATGTAGTAAATATGTAGGAGTGGAGGATACGTACCGCTAGCAAACTGCAAGGTATATCCATAATCGACTGAATAAGATAGTTGCGTGATTGTGCATAATCATTCCACCACTATACAAGACCTCGCTCGCGTGAGCAGGCGGACGTGAGCTCGCTCGTGGGTTGCTCCATCTACTACGATTCGATAAAAAGAGCGGATTATGAGTAGCTAGGTGAATGAAACAACTCCGTTCCCATTAAAAGCTAAGTCAGCCAAAGATAAGGAGGAGAGCTCGGTGTCAGTTGGGCGCTCCCACTGGTGATGATATATTGTAGAAAATTGCGAAAAAAGGCGAAGTAAAAAGGTCAAAAAACCTGCCTTTGTTCATCGTGGCTTAGAAAGCAATTTCGGGAGCGAGTTTCCGTTTGGGGTGCCGCATCGGGCCTGTAACCGATACGGCAGATTCGGGTAGCCACTCCATGTCAGCCCTTTCGTTTCGTATTACATTTCACAAGTGAAGCGATACAAGCAACTGAATTGGTCGGACATTTGTGGGCGGGCGGGCACGGTGGACGTTCGGGTCGGTATGCTCAGCTTGATGGGGGGGGCTAAAAAGGCGCCTTACTTGGAAGAGGCGTCAGAGACGGTCTGCAGAATTCTGACCTGCTAGGCTTATTAATCCAACACTTTGGAGAATTAGTGTGCCACTTGCCTTTAGTACACCGATTCGTTCGAAACACCGTCTCGCTCAAAACGCCTTGTCGCTGAAACACCGATTCTCCCGAGTCGCAAAGTATGAACACAGCGTGAGGGTGATTTACTGCTTGTACTTCATGACACTCGCGCGTACACCAAGAAAAAGCGATGGGGGCGGAAACCCAGCTCCTACGGTAGACAGTTCGCTACCTCATAACCCTCTCACTCTGATGCCACGGACTTTCACGTCACGACAGCAGCTCGACCTAGTCGGCTGTTATCATGCATAGCACATTCTTGCTACCAGCTACTCGCACACTGTTCCTTTAATAAAAAGGCCTAAAAATGAGAAATATAAGGTTTCGTCGTGAACGGAAAATCGACATAGTAAAAGCACACTACTATGCAACTGTGGGAAATTAATGTAGCAAACTGCTCCCTGGATCCACCGCTACCCGATGGGATTGAAATTCACTCTAAATGGCCAGCAAATACAGGAGATGTGGACAAGAATGGATTGGCGTTAACTTTGCCGCGATCGCTGACAATAACAGATACTGAGCACGTGAATCAATCATTCAAACAGCAGCATTGACTAAGCTTTCATTTGTCATCGCCTCTGGCGTCCTAAAGGCACAAACAACGTCTAACCATATAATTAAAATCTTCCAAATCAAATCATACAGAAGCCGGGATATTTATTAAGTGGGATTATTCAAAACAAACAGCAATTACCATCCGAGCAGGTATTTCCCATGTGTGAGGTGAATGAGTGCGCAGTTGCAGCAGCGGGCCACTTCCCTACTCAAACGTGTACGGGAACGGACGGCACCCGAGTATCGTTGCTCTCCAGCTCCGCTCTAGAGCATTTTTTTGCAAAGAATGTGGCACACTACTACCAACAGCTGCGGACCCATTCGCTTCGCATATGGCAAGGACCACGATCAACGGATTTGAGTGTGCAGTCTGTCTTTAATGGACTTCACACTACACTTGAAATATGTGTTTGACCGTCAGAAACAATTCAACCACGGTCGAATTTACTTAAAATGGCGGACTGATTCAGCCAGTCTGTGGCCCGTACGGATTTCAAAGATGTATATGTGTACGAATTCCGGAACATGTATATGTGCCGAATGTCCTAGGCAAGACAGAGTTACAGCAGAAAAATCTAGCTCATTAACGCGCCAGGAATGTGGACCACTTATAAAAATGATGCAGAACTAGAACATGTCAGAAAGAGAGGAAAGGGAAATTAAAAAAAAACACAAAAAAGTGAAGAAAACCCATAAAAAGACCGAGGTAGGTTACATATTGAAGAAGCAGAGGAAAAAGTGCAAAGGGCATAAGCGCTCTGGAGGATTCCCTCAATGGTTCGAAGAATGGCATGAAAAAAAGGAAAAGAAAGGTCAATAAAATTATCCCAGGAGCACGTCTCTGACAGTATCGCTACTCTGGAGAACGGTATTTCGAATCTGATAGAACGAATGTTGCGGCCAAGCGTTATTCTGAGGATAATAGCAACTTCCTGGACAGCTATCACAACCAATTCTCTCTTCCAACTAGATAGACTGTAGCGGAACAATCTGTCCATCACATGATTATGTTTGCAATGATACAGAGTGCATATACAACAATAGCATCCATGGCAGGTCAGCGCAAAGAAGTTCCGGGATCAACGAGCACAAAAACTGCTCATAACGCCTAGGATGAACGAATCTTCTATGTGAAAGTCGATCACACCATATGAAGGGCTGCGATCGTCAAATAGTGAGTGAAAGTGAAAAAAATACGCGAAAAGTCAATTAACCTTTGATCAATAATACAGTGAGCAATCATATCTATCGCATGTTTCACCCAGTCCTCCATTAAAAAAACTGCTCAATATAGGGGGACTTTGGCTATTGAAGGACCACACTTACAAAACATTTCATTTTGGAATCATGTAATTTTTTAGAAGCGCTTTTGAACGCGTGAGTCCACAGCTATAGGGGTAGTTCTGAGCTTGATGACTCATCCATCTGTGCCACCCCCAGGGTACGCCATCGCGTTGCGATCATTTCCAGAAAAATACGACCCCCCCCTTGTTCCATCCTCAAATACGACCCCCTCCCATGCTACCTACCACTTTCCTAGATTTTCCCAACTTCCTACCACTTTTTCCTTTTTTCCCGAAAAACTTCCAGTTTTTCAGCCAAAAATCTTCCGTAACCTCCTAACAGTTTTTCCGAAAGTACCCGAAGAATTTCTGGTTCTTCCCCGAAATTTTGCTGTCGAGCGCGGGAAGGGGGGGGGTGGGGAAGGTCGTCAGGGTGAAACTATCACTTTCAACTAAAAACTAGAAATAAACTAGAAATAGTTGTATAGATCTTTGGCAGTCCCTCTCCCAACAACGACCAAATACGACCCCCCCCCTTTATAGCGTCCGTGAAACAAGAGAAATCAACTATCAAAAAATTTTCTCAGACCAAATACGACCCCCTCCCTCGCGGTCAAATACGACCCCCCCCGTTGTGATCATCACAAACTGTTAATTCAGCGCTATAGGACCCAGGATAGTTACCACGAAGTTTCTGACTGAAAGATATCGTTGGACACCTTCTACCAATTCGAGCCATAACTTTTCTCATACAAACTTATTCGCTTGGATGATGGATCGTGTCAGACGCGATGGGTTAGGCACAACGTCAAACTCGTTTTCCACTACCTTTTGAAGCGAGCAAGCGACACGACTGAACCATACCGTTTGTATATGTCGTATTCCACCAACTGTTGCCCCTTACCTACTTCAACGACTGGTGGAGAACGAGCTGGCAGCATGCCAGATCCAGCCTTACTGACACGCCCCATCATCCGCAGCGAACAAGACTGTACTTTCGAACTGTACCATTTCTACCTATTATCAAACATCCACATAAGAGCAGGCACAAAAGAGGAAACTATATCTAGTTCGTTTACGTTTGCATGACCCCCATAACTCTCTGAAGATATGAAGCTCAACAATCGCTTTCTACTAATGCTAACCAGAGACACGATACCCTACGGAACTGTAGTTTTACGGGATAGGTACTGGCTAAACGAACACCATCAACTGCCTTTTTACTGCTTATATCTACCGATGAAGGGGCAAAAGGAAACCACCTAGCTCGTGGACGCATAATCAATCTTTACTTCGCACAAGGTGAGTGAATATTCCTAAGATGTTCGTACCTCTAAAACCACGAGCATGCACACTACCATAGTCCTAACGGCATGACAATGTGCTGCATGGTGTATAACATCTCTCACCGCCGTCAACCT